CCCCCCCAATCCCCGGGTCCCCCGGGGATTGGGGGGGACCCCAGACCCTGCGGGACTCGGGTTGGGGGGGGCTTGGAAGGGATTCGAGGGGTGTCCCCATCCCAGGGGGTGTGTTCCCATCCCAGGGGTGTGTCCCAATCCAGGGGGTGTGTCCTTATCCCAGTGGGTGTGTCCCCATCCCAGTGGGTGTGTCCTTATCCCAGGGGGTGTGTCCCCATCCCAGTGGGTGTGTCCCCATCCCAGGGTTTGTCCCCATCCCAAGTGGTGTCCCCAATCCCAGTGGGTGTGTCCCCACCCCAAGGGGTGTGTCCCCCTCCCAGTGGACGTGTCCCCATCCCAGGGGTGTGTCCCCATCCCAGTGGGTGTGTCCTCGTCCCGGGGGGTGTGTCCTCATCCCAGTGGGTGTGTCCCCATTCCAGGGTGTGTCCCCATCCCAGGGGTGTGTCCCAATCCAGGGGGTGTGTTCCCATCCCAGTGGGTGTGTCCCCATCCCAGGGGTGTGTCCTTATCCCAGGGGTGTGTCCCCATCCAGTGGGTGTGTCCCCACCCTTGGGGGTGTGTCCCCATCCCAGTGGGTGTGTCCCCATCCCAGGGGTGTGTCCCCAATCCCAGGGGTGTGTCCCCATCCCAGGGGGTGTCCCCTCCCTTGGGGGAATGTCCCCACCCTTTGAGGGGTGTCCCTATCCCAATGGGTGTGTCCCCATCCGGAGGGTGTTCCCCTATCCCAGTGGGTGTGTCCCCATCCAGGGGGTGTGTCCTAATCCAGGGGGTGTGACCCCATCCCAGGGGTGTGTCCCCATCCAGGGGGTGTGTCCCCATTCCAGTGGGTGTGTCCTGTGTCCCCATCCCAGTGGGTGTGTCCCCATCCCAGGGGGTGTGTCCTGTGTTCCCATCCCAGGGGTGTGTCCCCATCCTTGGAGGGGTGTCCCCACCCTTGGGGGGGGTGTTCCCACCCTTGGGGGGTGTCCCCACCCTTTAAGGGGTGTCCCCTCCCCGGGGTTGCCCCCGTACCTGGGGGGCATTAACTGGCCGCCGTCTCCTGGCGCAGGGGGAAGAGCTTTGCTGCCTCCTCGGCCTCACAGGCGCAGGACAAATCACTCCTGGGGGGCACGGGGGGGGTCAGCAGGGCCCAGACAGGTCACTCCTGGGGCGTGGGGGGGGGGCCGCCAGGCCCCCCCCCCCCCCCGGGTCACCCCCCCCTCACCTGTTGTCGTTGATGTCCGTCACGTTCCCTGCAAGGCACAGCAGCGGCTCCAGGGGGGGTCTGGGGCACCCACCCCCTCCTCGGGACCCCCCTAACCCAAAACGGGGCCCCCCCGGCCCCTCCCCGGCGCCCCCCCCTCACCGTTATCCACGTGGAGCTGCTGGAAGGAGTCCGGGGGGCTGCTGGACAGCGCGGGGGGGCCGCTGGCAAAGCTGGGGGGGGACACGGGAAGGGGGGGGGGACGGGGGCACATGGGGACAGAGGCTTTGAGACCCCCCTGGGCACTGCTGGCACAGGGAGGGGCCACCCCGTGCCCTGCCTCCCCCCTCAGAGTCCCGTGCCCACCCACAGGACCCCCCGTGCCCCCTGCACCCTCTGTGCCCCCCCTGCCCTCCCACAGGACCCCCACCAGCTGCCAGAAGCCCCCCCGTGCCCCCCACGCCCCTGTGCCCCCCCCGCCCTCCCACAGGACCCCCATAAGCCACCAGGACCCCCCC